GACGGTATCTAAGAGCAGGTAAGAGCAAGTTTTGCAAAAAAACACCATCACAGAGAATTCTAGGTGGTTTTGTCATTTTGATGACGATAACTACGTTAACATTCCGAAATTGGTGGATGTATTGAATGGTTACGATCCCAATGGCGATTGGTATTTGGGAAAGCCTAGCATAAAGTATAAATATCCAGTGTACAACAAAAAAACCAAGGTAATAGGTCATTTTAAACTATTTTATCTTTGGTGCAAACTTCAAACAATTACATGTGTAACTAAAATCTTTTTTAATAGATTTAATAGATTGATATGTATTACATTTCTTAGTAAGAACGAGATAACTCACTAGGGAAACTTTGGGGGGGATTGGTAGAATAATTCATTCAACACTTTCTTTGCAATTTAATTACTTAGAATTTCCTAAGGAAAATTTGTAAAAAGGAATATGTGTTTGGAAAGAGAACGTCGTAAATTTTTTAAATCAATATATTCAAAACGTCGTAGCAATTTGGTGTGTGATTTGGCAAGCAAAATATTCAATTAACTATACAAATTTTAAGGACAAAGAAGTTCTGCATTAAGTAGAAAATAGTCATGCTAGCCGGGATAATTTAGGAAGTTTATAAAAAAGTTTGATTTTTGGTAAAGAATCCATATGATGTGCCATTAAGAGAGTTCAAAACCCTTAAATGAAATAGCGAAGCCTACTATATTCGTAACACCGTCTATTTCTTTATCTCCAGACAAAAACAAAGTTATGGTTTGGAACGGGAGGCGCAGGGATTTGTATTAGCAGACCTCTAGTTACGAAAATGAAGCCATTTACAATGTAAGTATGAAAGTCCTACTGGGGTAATCTTCTAAGCAGCAGTCACGCCACTGGGAACAAAAATCGTCCAGAAAGCTTTCTTCCCATTCGATTTTTTAAAGTGAGGTTTAATTGGAATCTGCATCCAGCACTGTTTGATAGCAACATGGTAGTAGTAATTTGATATATTTGGATTATTACAGTGGCGACCAATTTATGCGCACCTGCTACGCTGTGATCAATGGGGATGATGTAACAGTAGCCTATATAGCACACTTGCAGAACATATCGTTAACGGTTATAGATAAATTTCACTCCCACTTCGAAAAGTTTAAATCGTTCCCTAGAGAAACCATCGAGGATGAGGTACCTACCTAACTTGTTATTAAATATGAATTTTATCAAATATGTAAAATTACAGATCGTACTCAGTTATAAAGGCCCAAATATCCTGGATATTGAAGGGTTCGATCTAATAACCGACCCTACTAGGTTAGCTAATTTGTTTGGAGCTTTGGACTATGTAGTCAGTGATTTTTTAGGTTGATGTCTCTGCACTGCATCTTATTTCCGAATGCCGATCTCTGTTCCACGATGAAAAGGACATACCCTACAACAAGTAAAACGATTGAAGATTCCGTATAATATACAAATGTATGGCAATTAAAAATATTGTACGTAATCGGCGTCACCGAGGCGCATAAAAACGGAATACTCGAGAAAATTTGGTGTATAAATAACGCTTGGTTTATTTAAATGCTAAAGACTTGTTCATTATTCATTAAATTGACTACTGTTTAATTAAATACAGACATTAATGGTTTGTTTTGGGATAACGTAGTCCAACATAAGTACTATGTTATTGTCACAAGTTACAAGAAGTCGAGGAGGAGGGGTATAGTTGGTAGAAATTAATTCCTTCCATTGAGACCTTTCATTAGAGTACCATGAAAGATAAAACTAGTTCCACTCCCCCTCATCCTTCGCCCCGCACTTTGATAAGAGGAGGACAAAAAGAAGGGTAGTATTTCGTAGAAAACGGTTCCTTTCATTGAGACCTTTAATCAGAATACAATGAGAGATAAAATTAAGTTATAGTTTGTACAAACCAATTTATTTCGATGAGATCTTTCTTTAGAATATCATGAAGGGTATAACATGCGTTTACTTCCCCCCCCCCCTTTCTAAAGTTTAATTTGGCACCACTAAAGGCATGAATATGCAAAATCTGAGACCAATTGGTGGTCGTATGTAAAAGTTATGCACGTTTTACTTTCAAAACCAGCATCTCGCGAAATAATTCGGAGGGGGGAGGGGGACAGCGCAATTTGATGGCCGTCTGGCACACCTTCAATGCATAGGCATTGTTTAAATCCTTTATTAAATATAGGCTACCTACTGCAAAAAAATTCCAGGACTCTAGGACCATTCCCCTAGAAGTAGTTCGAAACGGTAGAAGTGGGTCCGGACAAAACGCAAATAATAGCACATTTTTTAAGAATTAAAAATGTGCTATTGTTTGTGTTTCGTCCGTCCGTCCGCCCGGATCCACTTCTGCCGTTTCGAAGTACTTCCAGGGGAATGGTCCTAGAGTCCTGGAATTTTTTGCAGTAGGTACCCAGACGATTTACCTAATTCACTGGAGGTGATCGCGGTTTTTGATAAAAGTTGAGTTTACAATACATTTGTCGCATCTTAATAATAAGTTCCGACCAACAATTAGTCCCCATTTTGATCAGCTACTTCCCTTCTATAAAATACCAACCCTTCCACCCCTTCATTACAAATGTGAAACAAGCGAGTTCATAATATGGACTGCCCATACAGTATAAGGTTTAGGCAAATTAGAAATTAGTGAGCATCTTGTTAATATTGTGTGTGTGGGGGGGAGGGAGGCATACCCTTTCAAATTGATTAATAACAGAAAATCAAAACACCACAGTCTCATCATTAAAGTGAATTTCTATTTTGGTGGTTAAATAAAATTTATGCTCTATTTATCACACTACTGTCTGTTTGTTATTCATATCACTCCAGATTTGCGTTGCTATGTTTTTAGATATAACAAAACAAATGGATCTATACCTTTATAAGGGAGATAACGCTATTTGATGACTGAGGGCGGGAACCTCGCTTTGCGTCAGTACAAATGAAAGCATTAGAGATAAAAAATCCAAAGACACCGCTATAGATATTCACCATAGAGATAAACGCGAAAAATGGGAAAAAGTCAGATTTTAGGCAATATGTTTAAACTACTTATAGTTATTGCAAGCTGTCTTGCACCGTTATACATATTGATTTCACATCCTAACTTGAAGGTAAAGTGAACTATATCTTGAAATGCTATGATACGTTGCTTTCAGCATGAAGGGAGAACCTTTCATTTTGATTTTAAGATAGGTAGCACGATCTCAAGGCCCAATCACATTACGTTAGATGATGTCTACATTGCAGTGAAAACATCGAGCAGTTTCCACCAGACAAGATTGCCGATGATTTTGCAAACGTGGTTCCCGTTAGCAAACGATCAGGTACCAAATCGTTAATGAACGATAATCGTTACGCATCGTGTTAACAATTATTTCAGATCTGGTTTTTCACTGACGCCGATGACCTCGTTCTCCAGATGATAACCGGTAAACTCAGTGAAAATCGATTTCACTTAATTTAATGTTGATTAATTTTAGACCGTCACATGATCAACACTTACTGTCCGCCCACGCACTTCCGAAGAGATTTGAGCTGTAAAATGGGAGTGGAAATCAATACGTTTATGACCACCAACAAAACGTACCCAAGTGGCATTCGTGTACCTGCATTTTAACCCATTGTTATTCGCCTTAGGTGGTTTTGCCATTTCGACGACGATAACTACGTCAACATCCCAAACTTGATCGAGATGCTCAAAGGGTACGATCCCGAAGCTGATTGGTATCTGGGGAGGAATAGTTATTCCACCCGATACAATGCAACAATAATAAAAAGAATGGTGGTAATAGTTTCATTTTGATACGGAGGAATAACAGCCAGTTTCACAGGAAACTGTTAATTTTTGGTTCGCAACCGGAGGTGCCGGAATTTGTATCAGCAGACCTTTGGGAGTGAAAATGCTTCCCTACATCAGGTGAAATTACTTTCATTAAACTTCTTTACAGTTTGAAACATTACAGTGGGGTGAAATTTTTGCATACCTCCGATAGTATATTAGAACCTGACGATGTTACTGTGGGTTTCATCATTGGTAAAGACCCATCTAATAAATTCACTACTCCCACCTTTTTCCTTCAGAGCACTTGCTAAACGTGTCCATGACGAGGATAGCAGAATTTCATTCGCACGAAGAGAAGCTGAACCTGGTTAAACGGGATACAATCAAGGAGCAGGTGAGTATGTAAGTGCTTATGGCACTGATTATTTTTTAAACATTTCAGGTTTCATTCGGGTACCAAAACAAAAATATTATCGAGATAGAGGGGTTCGATCTCAAAGTTGATCCCACCAGGTTTCTCTCACTACATTGTATTTTGTTTCCAGGCGTTGATTTTTGTTCAAAGATGGATTGGGGACCGGTTCAGAAATATGCAGATGAGAATACCACAATTTCCTAAATTTAAGCATACTGTCAACTTTTTTTAAATATATGTATAACTGTTTTTATTGTAGACGGAGATACGTATTTCTGTAACCTAACCTAACTATCACACTAACCTAACCTCACTAATAACTAAACCTTGAATCACGTCGTGCGAGAACAACCATTCCCTTTAGTGGTGTGGTTGAAGGAGGTGGTTGGCAACCTCCCACAGGCTACACACTATAAAGGTAGTGCAGGGAAAGACTGCTTTCCTAGGCTCCTCAAGGTTGCCATCTGGGTGGAAATCTGACGATCTGGTGGCGGTTAAACGGCGCTTACAGGTACACTACCATTTAACACGGGGAGAACGCAGAGTACCTACGGGTGTCGTCGCTTTTCAAAAATGTACCTTAAGAGCCACAGCAATAGACTCCATCCATTTTCTATATCCATTAATTTTTTAATGGTACTATGCAGAGCTGGGCAGAATACTTTCAAAAAGTATTTGAATACTAAATACTTTTACATCCAGCGCAAGCGAATACTAGATACAGATACATTGAAAAGTATTCAAATACTTAAAAAAATAAGTATTCACATACTTTAGAATGTATTCGAATACTTTCAAAGGTATTCGAATACTATAAAAAGTATTCAAATACTTGTCACTCAAATATATTAAAAATTTAAAATAGTATACTAGATAAAAGGCTTAATACTACTTAAAAAATCAAGTTATACTTTGTATGGGGTTAGCTTTTTTTATATTTCTATTGTTATATACAAATTTAAGGGGAGTAAAAGCATATCGTTATTATTATATAGGAGGTACCTACCAGGACCTTTCTTATACCAGTTATATCCTTAAGAATACGTGTACCAGTTTTCAAAGCGTCGTGCACATGATACGTACGTCTTTCTGAAATTAATCCTAGCGATTTTGGAACAGATCCATTTTTGACCATCCGTTTGTCCGTGTGCATGATAACTTGTTTAGAAACGTGCGATCGCTTTGAAAATTGGTACACAATGGTCTTAAGGATATATGAAAGGTCCCTATTGTTTTTAAGTTACGTGGACTATCGAGTTCGGTATTCAGATGTATCAGATTTTTATATTTGATTTTGTGACAATGGGAACTTTCCCTAAACATTTCTAAATCGTTCTCAAATATTTGAATAACTTAAAAGTACTGCCTTTTTTTGAGGCCGGAAAAAAAATTGTCTGAGATCGAGATCGATCGAGAGTCCATAATTTCAAACAGTTTGAAGATTGGGCTACTAGATCAAAAGTTACAGCCCTTTGAATTTTTTTTCGAAATTTGTTTTTTGTCCATAACTTTTGATTGAGAAGTCTGATCGAAAAAGTACGAATTGTTTTGGATTCTACGCACCAAAATTAATAAGAAAAAGTGTTTCCCCGAGAAATTTTGGTGCAGTCGATTTTTGGTAAAAAAGGAAGGTTATACACTGCCTTTTTTTGAGCCCCGAAAAAAAAATTGTCTCAGATCGACCCGGAAAAAAATTTTGTTATAGAATGTGGCCTGTAGAATCCATAATTTCAAACAGTTCCAAGATTGGGCTACTAGTTCAAAAGTTACAGCCCTTTGAATTTTCTTTCGAAATTGGTCTATAACTTTTGATTGAGAAGTCTGATCGAAAAAGTGCGAATTGTTTTGGATTCTACGCACCAAAATTAATAAGAAAAAGTGTTTTTATTATACTACATTAAAATCACCTTATTTACACCTGTATTAGAAATAATGGTATCCGGCCTTTTCCAAGCTAGCGGATGGAAAAACTTTTACTCACAATCGGTTAGTATTATCTGAATTCCTAACCTTCATAGCGGTTGCGAAGCGACTCATTACTCACCTTAGCCGGGAAAGTAACTTTCCCGGCTAGCTGTCACTTTCCCGGCTAGCTGTCACTTTCCCGGCTAGCATCTGTCACTTTCCTTACCTGCAAATGCTATTCATATTATCCTTATATGAAACTTATACTAATAGTGACACCGCCAATGTAACCATTAATGTTTACAACAATAGCAAATTACGAAGAAGAACGAAACTATTTGCTATTGTTGTAAACATTAATTGTTACATTGGCGGTGTCACTATTATTGACAGTTAAAGTAACACCTTGTTGAATTATATACTTTACCTTAAAT